AGATCATTCAGGAGGGTGCCGCCCTGCTGCGCCAGGAGAAGACAATGATCGACATTGAGGCGCCGGTGACGGTGTGCGGCGACATACACGGCCAGTTCTACGACCTGATGAAACTTTTCGAGGTGGGCGGATCGCCGGCCAGCACCAAGTATCTGTTCCTGGGCGACTATGTCGACCGGGGCTACTTCAGCATCGAATGCGTGCTGTACCTGTGGTCGCTGAAGATCACCTATCCGCAGACGCTGTTCCTGCTGCGCGGCAACCACGAGTGCCGGCATCTGACCGAGTACTTCACCTTCAAGCAGGAGTGCAAGATCAAGTACTCGGAGCGCGTGTACGACGCGTGCATGGACGCGTTCGACTGCCTGCCGCTGGCGGCGCTGATGAACCAGCAGTTCCTGTGCGTGCACGGCGGCCTGTCGCCCGAGATACACGAGCTGGAGGACATACGGCGGCTCGACCGCTTCAAGGAGCCGCCCGCCTTCGGCCCCATGTGCGACCTGCTGTGGTCCGACCCGCTGGAAGACTTCGGCAACGAGAAGAACTCGGACTTCTACACGCACAACTCGGTGCGAGGCTGCTCGTACTTCTACAGCTACGCCGCCTGCTGCGACTTCCTGCAGAACAACAACCTGCTGTCGATCATCCGGGCGCACGAGGCGCAGGACGCCGGCTACCGCATGTACCGCAAGAGCCAGACCACCGGCTTCCCCTCGCTGATCACCATCTTCTCGGCGCCCAACTATCTCGACGTGTACAACAACAAGGCGGCGGTGCTGAAGTACGAGAACAACGTGATGAACATCCGGCAGTTCAACTGCTCGCCGCACCCCTACTGGCTTCCCAACTTCATGGACGTGTTCACCTGGTCGCTGCCCTTCGTGGGCGAGAAGGTCACCGAGATGCTGGTGAACGTGCTGAACATCTGCTCCGACGACGAGCTCATGACCGAGGAGAGCGAGGAGCCGCTCTCGGACGACGAGGCGGCGCTGCGCAAGGAGGTTATCCGCAACAAGATCCGTGCCATCGGCAAGATGGCTCGCGTCTTCTCCGTGCTGCGCGAGGAGTCCGAGTCGGTGCTGCAGCTGAAGGGCCTGACGCCGACGGGCGCCCTGCCACTCGGCGCCCTCTCCGGAGGCAAGCAGTCGCTCAAGAACGCCATGCAGGGCTTCTCGCCCAACCACAAGATTACCTCGTTTGCGGAGGCCAAGGGCCTCGATGCCGTCAACGAGCGGATGCCGCCGCGCCGAGACCAGCCACCAACGCCCAGTGAGGATCCCCATCACCACAGCCAACAGCAGCAGCAGGGTGGCGGCAACAATGGGGCTGGACATGGGTAAGCTCGCTGAGTGGCTGCAGGACGAGAATGCTGATGAGGCGAGGCGGAGTCTAGAACGGAGGAGGAGGAGTGCACGGGCGTTGAGTGACTTGGCGGCAGCAGAGTGGAGCGGAGCGGAGCAACACAAAGAACACCAACAAACGGAACCTTAATTAAGCTTAATGTGGCAGAGCAGCAACTTAAACAAATACTAAAAACTAAAATCTAAAAGCTAAAAACTTAAAACATAAAACTTAAAGCCAATTCTAATACTAAGTACATAACATTATCCATATATTTCGTTAGCGATTCGGCACCAGCTCCATGTCCATGTCCCATGTCCATGTCCCATGTCCATGTCCCATGTCCATGTCCGTGGCCGACTCCCGGGCCCACCAGCACCATTTGCTGCGCCAGCCGGAGCAGAAATTTGTTTTTACGTCGGTGCGCGCACATTGGATATTAGAATTATGATGCTTTGGCGCGCCGGCGCCCCTGAAGAATAACTAAAAACTGAAAACTGAAAACTGAAAACCGAAAAATTCCCTTTCTCAAGAGCAGAAAACAAAAAACCAACCAACAGTAACCCCCATAACCTTAAGCTTAAGTTGTATTGTATAAACCGAAATGGGCTAAAAACGTTAAAATATGTAAAACGGGATACCGGGAGCCGAGAGGAAGGAAGGCCCACAAAAAAAGGAATAAGAGAAACATGAAATATGTAATATGAAGAGAGTGGAGAGAAGAATCCAGCGCTAATTTGTTTAAAACATTTCTAGCGGCGCCAAAAAGAAGCGTACATAAATATACATATGATTATATAGAAATATCGGACCGATATGTGTAATGAGGTTCGATTCGAAATGAGCAAGAGGATCGGATTCGGATCGTTCGTTTGTGTAATAATAATCATAATCGTAATCCTTAAAAAATCTTGAAATGTGTAATCTTGCATAGAAAACAAACAAAACAACTTCGAAACAATTTGCAATATGTGCCGCAATAGTCCATAAATGTTCCTTATACGAATTAAATATTGAAAGTGAAACGAGTTTATTTTTTAGTTGTTATTTTTATTATTATTTTTTTTTTAACAAAACTCACACACATAGTATGTGTAGAAAAGTTTTATCAGTTGCTTGGCTTCAAAAAACAAAAACTATGAAAAACTAAATAAGAGAAAATCATAATCGTTCGAGGATCGAGTCTAGCTAATTAATTAATTGAAGAATTCGATCGATTTCCGTAAATGCATTTTGAGCCCACACAACAAGTAACACAACACTGGAGGAGAAACAGAGAGACGGAGCGAGAGGTTTAGCAATTAAATAGCAAATCCAATATTTAACTAATAAATTACCATATATGTACTACCTAATAACGTATATAATATATTCCCCCTGCGTGTAAATTGAACTAAAGCGATTAATTCATTTATCGAAACGAAATGGAATGAAACGATTTTTGTTGAGAGAGAAAGTAACACAGACACACACACACACACAGACACAAAAGTATAAGTAACGGTAGCAAAAGCTAGACTTGAAAATGAAACAAGCTTAGAATTTAATGCTAAGTAGCGAAGAGAGAGATTTATTTAAGAGTAAGTATTGAATGTAAGGCTTGGAACGAGCACGAGGGAAACACGAAGAGTTTCAGCGTTTCAGATCAATTCAAAAAATGATAATGATGGCAATCAATTTCTCAATTCCAATACCGATTTCCCCCCCCCTTCGCCTGTTCCACACACACACACACACTATGGATCAGATTCTCCAATATCAATATGCAAAATCAAAATATTGTATGTACTCGACACACACGCATGCCTGCAAGAAATGCCTTCATCCTTCAAGAACTAGATCCTGGACCCCGAACCCGAACCGAAACCCAACACCACATTTATGCTGTACTTTGCTTCGACTCCGCGCAACTTGAACTTTACTCTTAATATTTATACAGATATATATGAATATATTATATACAAAGAGTTGACATTGGAAAAAGAAAAACACGAAAAACAAAACAATTAGTTCTTAGTGATCTATGCACGTATCGTAACAATACCAAGATTATTTAAAAATCGTAGCTAAAGGACAACAAATCAAGAAGCGGAGCGGAACTTAGCTTTTGTAATGAAAGGAAATGAGAATGAGGGAGTGGTAAACAATTTACTTAACTAATTGAGAAGTATATATATATATATATATATATAGTTTTTTTAATCAGCAAACCACCACAAGCAACAACAACATGCATACAAAGATACATACATACATACATATAAAATTATTAAATTATTAAATTGAACAAGAGAGAGAGAGAAAAAGAGTTTAAGTTTCGATGTTTCTGTTCTCTATATGGTTAAATTGTTGAAACTGTTATACCGCAGCAATTGCATATTTAGTTAGCGCTACAGAGTGAAACACAAAAAGGGGAATACCCTCGAGTTGAATTTGAATTTGAGAGAACACAAAACAATAGTCAGCAGCAGTCAAAAGCATATATTACGTATTGTATGGGAGAGAACGAACAGCAAAACACCAAAATAACAAAAAGCAACTCAAGCTAAAACTAACGATGATACTAAAGGAGCAATAATAAGTCTATATTATGAACTAACGATCGATCCATTTCGCTTAGAGCCCCCGAGCAAACCCCTTCAATAATATTGAATGCAAAGTAACTTCCGCGGCAGACACACACAGATATTAATAGAGCGAAAGACATAGAGTTAGACGAAGGACGATGTGTAGATTTTGATAATATATATATATATATATATATATATATATATCAAGACCATACCAACTTATGGATCCATTTACAAGCATTCAGGCGTTCAACATAGAACAGATCATACCCAAAACAAAATCCAAAACCAAACCGAAACAAGCAGAATCAAAAGGAAACGAGACGAGACGACAGCATATATATACTTATATAAGACATTTCGCCTCTTAAAGCAATTATAAAGATAACAAAATGAGTAACGTTTATTATATTATTAAATTATACATACATATACATACTATATAAACGGAATAAAATAAATCAGCAGCAAACTTTCCATTTTATGGCGGCTTTCTTGGTTTTATTGCGACAACGCCAATTGCAGGTTTTAAATCTCCCGCCAAACTTCAATTTTATCGAGCCGCTCTAATCGAAAAGTATGGCTTACGTTACAATATCACCGTTGGCCAGGAGAATCCTGCTCATCCTCGATTAGGATATTATTGGGTGTGCTGTTCAGCTCCCGCCGTCTGTTGAGTACCTTGTAGTGCACTCCGGACACATCGCATCAGGAGGCCCTTGCCAATTCCGCCAAAGGAGGGATTGCAGGACATTTCGCCGATCGTCTCCAGCTTGTGGGTGAGCTAGGATCTTGGCCAGATGCAGTTTCTTTTGGGGTCAAATAGTCGGACGTCGTTTTCCGGCCACTTTGTTTACAAAACAATAAACAAGTCCGGCAACTCGGCGTAGCTATTTTTTTATCGATGGGAGCTATTTTTTTATCGATGGTTTTCATATACAACGTACAAGGAAACCATCGATGGAAACAACGATGATTTTTAGCCTGTTTATCGACATTCCGATAGTCAGTTTTTTCATGTCCTAGCGGGCATTTTTAGCGGGAAATTTCAACTTTTCGAGATTTTTCAGGGGGAGAGCCTAATTTTCATCTGGCCACACTGTTTTGATACAACAACATTTGGGCCGCTGTCGTTTTGTGTTTTACCGAAAAATCGAAATTTTAAGTGCTTGCAGGGCCGCCGGCGACAAAGCATTTGGCAATAATAATTAATTAGTTTAATTAGGGTTTGGAGCCACAAACGAAGCGGGCCGAGCATCGGAAAAACGTAAGCAGAGGCCCGGAGAGAGGAAAACAAACGCTCCCGCCCGCGTGCCTGCTAGTGTGTGTGTGTGTGTGCATGAATGGAGCGGCGTATGTGTGTTCATGGAAAGTGTGTGATTAAGTGCAGTGGGGAGCAGAAAAAGCTTTTATTAAAAGAACGGCTGAGCCAGCAGCAGCCAGCGATCGCGTCGCTCACGAAACTCCATTCCAACACCACTCTCTTTATTTTTTTTTTTTGTATTATCAAGGAGTCGCGCCTAAAACACTTTGCCGCAACCGAAAGCAACACCAACACATCCACAAAGGCCCCAAAAGTCGCGTCATCAGTGGAAGTGGAAGCAGGGCGAAGCAGTTTCCTCCAGCTCCAGTTCAAATCCTTCAAAACATGGACAGCAAGGGTCGCAATGTCATCGTCTGTGATAACGGCACAGGGGTAAGTTACAACACCATCACCTCCTCCCCCGATAAACAACAACGCCCACTGTGTGACACACATTTTGGGAGCCAAGTTCTTGTTGTTGTTTACTGCTGCTGCTCTTCTTTTCTTCTTGTAGGCTAAGCAGCGCTTGGGCCGGTGGGTTGCTCACTGCTTGCGGGCGTTGACGTTGCGTCTAATCGCAGCGGGGGGGAGAGCTGGAGAGCTGCGCTTAGTTAAGCAGCGCTAGCAAATGCAATTATGTCGGTGCTGCTTCTTCTTCTTCTGATTCCTCAGCTTTAGTCATTGTAACGACGACGATCGCGTATTACTCACCAATTCGAGAGTTATGAATACTCACACAGACACGCGCACCCACACATGGGCCACACGGCCAAAAAAGAGCGAAAAGAGCAACTACATACATATATTTCAACATTAGGTTCTTATCTCGAGAATTTGTTTTGCGATTACGCCGGCTTCGATAAGAGTTCGATAAACCAAAGCAGTTCAGCAATGGCGAAGAACTGAATACACTGAGAAATCGATCTTAACTCTTAGACTTTGAAACGACTTTATTTAACCCTTGAGAGATCAGTCTTAATTAACTAACTAATACAAGTATTCCTCAATACAACATAATTAAATGCCCCATAAAATATTTATATTTTTGTTTTGCACACTGTTATCTCTTGAAATTGTTGAATATTCTTGAATAATTCTTAAAAATAATTATATTTAAATAATTAAATCAGATCAGGGTTAACTCTGATTTATGATCAAAGGTTTTATACCAAAATCGGTGTTTAAACTTCATAAAAAAGGATACAAAATAAATGATATTGCTCCTAATATGCAAATAAAATCTCTTATTTACAATTTAACTCACTCAAATTTCTTTCATCTGCAATTACAGTTTGTCAAGTGCGGATATGCCGGCAGCAATTTTCCCACCTTCATCTTTCCATCGATGGTGGGACGACCCATCATACGGGCGGTAAACAAAATCGGCGACATCGAAGTCAAGGTATGATCCATCGTACTTGCCAATTCAAGAGTGATCATATTATTAATCAGCGACAAGGAGAGAAGATTTCAAATACAAAACATAAACATAATCACATCACACGAATCGAATTGTGCACAGAGGCCGGCCATTCATCAATAATAAACATACAATATATACAATATATCGTTATCATTTGTCGATGTAACTTATCCATGACTAGTTGAACGGCAAAAGCAACATATTTAGAGCATAGAAGATCACAATATCCACCAATCAACCAATCAACCAAGAAAAACCACCCACATATTCTATATTGTATACTTTTTCTGATTTTTTGAGTCGAACCGCTCTCTGCTCTCCTTTCTATTCTGTCTATATTAGTGTGGCATATCTTACTACTATATATGATTTCATTTCGATGTATGCTCCCCATTTGCATTTCATATAATTTACCATTACCATTTACCGTCTTGATTTTATCGCAACATCATGGGAACACTAGCCATTGCATTTTTGCTTGAGTTGCATCCATATTGGTCTCGGTCTCGGTGTGTGGCTCTCTTCCATAATAATAATATATATACACTATATAGTATAAGGCTGGTCGAAGGATATATGTACCTAATAACACCCCGTTGAGTGGGCTCCTAGGCTTAGAGTTTGATTAAGGACTCGGAATATGGAGACCGGACCACTCTTCCTTGGCTTTTTTCTAGTGCATTGAATCAACTTCACATCAGATATATCTATACATAGATCTTACTTAGCAGTTGCCTTTAGTTTACTTTCGTTTAGACAACAACAAATCGAACCGCCATTAAGCAAAGACAAATCTTGAATAGTTAGCAACGAACGATACCTGAAATATACGTATACTACATATTTACCACCTTTGAATATATATATTTCTGTTTCTTTTCAATATATTCTTATACATTTTTCTGTTCTTTTTTTACATATAAATTTTTGTTGAAAACGAAAATATTTGCAGGATTTACATGTCGATGTAAGTCAAGTTTATTATAGTTTAAAAAAAAATAAAACAAAAAACCAAAAACCTACCTCTAAGAATCTAATCACCAAGCAAAACCAAACTCGAACTCTATTCGGCTAAAGGTTAAATAATAAAAATTTATACATTATTCAACACAACGCAAACACAACACAACACAAAATCAAATGAAATATTTCTTGAAAAATCCTTTGAGTAACTCCTAGCACTTGGGATTAACCCAATTAGCTGTTACATGTTTCACATTTTCCACTAGTGTTGTGTTTTTGCCTTTGAATTGCAATACATAATATGTTTTCTCCCGACTCTTTAGTGGCTCCGCCGCCCGACTATCTTGTTGCTTCCATTCCACAATACTTACACTCACCTGAATACACATGAAAACTCACTTGTGTAAATCATAAATCTTAAATCGTAAATCTTAAATCGTAAATCTTAAATATATCAAGCGAATCGGATCAATCTGAGGCGCGTTGCAAAACCGGACAAATTTCCATGAATATAATTTTTGTTATTCAACTTTAAAGATCCTTTTTACATTTACATTTACATTTACACCTCCTGTGTTGTTTTTTTGTACATGTACACGTATATATATATATATTTTTAAGGCTACCCCTTGTTATTATTGTTGTTAATTATTTGTTTATAACTTGTTTCATTGACTTAAGTTGCATGCCTCCTGCCTCTGCTTGCTCCTTAGTTTGTTTCGCACGATCTGTTTGTCTTTGTGATGCCTATAACCCCACTACCCACCAGCAGAGCTAGGAACTCTGTGGCGCCTTGAATGTTGCCTGGCTTACTAGATACAGCTTAGTCCTTGTGTACTTGTTGTTGCTGTTCTTGTCCCTCTTTGTGAATGTACCGTGTAACCCATAGACTAACGGTCGGCAATCCCATCCCTGGGGGTAGGGTAACTAGCCTCCGTTTAATCACTAATCCAAGAAACACCACCAACGACTTTACAGGATCTGATGGTCGGCGATGAGGCGTCACAGCTGCGGTCGCTGCTGGAGGTCTCCTATCCGATGGAGAACGGCGTGGTCCGGAACTGGGATGACATGTGCCACGTATGGGACTATACGTTCGGGCCAAAGAAAATGGATATTGATCCGACGAACACAAAGATCCTGCTGACAGAGCCGCCAATGAATCCCACAAAGAATCGCGAGAAAATGATTGAGGTGAGTGATTTGAGTTTGGGATGATAACCTACCAAAGAACCAAGACTAATCCACCATAATTTCAGGTGATGTTCGAGAAGTACGGCTTCGACTCCACGTACATTGCCATCCAGGCTGTGTTGACGCTATATGCCCAGGGTCTGATCTCGGGCGTGGTGGTTGACTCCGGCGATGGCGTGACGCACATATGTCCCGTCTACGAAGAGTTTGCCCTGCCCCATCTGACGCGGCGATTGGACATTGCCGGTCGCGATATCACCCGCTACTTGATTAAGGTTCGTTTTTGGTTCGTTTTTTAACTTTCAAAATATGGTTTTCATATTTTGAATTATCCTGAACAGTTACTGTTACTCCGTGGCTATGCCTTCAATCATTCCGCTGACTTCGAAACTGTGCGCATCATGAAGGAGAAGCTCTGCTATATTGGCTACGACATTGAAATGGAGCAGCGTTTGGCCTTGGAGACAACGGTGCTGGTCGAGTCGTACACACTGCCCGATGGTCGCGTGATCAAGGTCGGTGGCGAACGATTTGAGGCACCGGAGGCACTGTTTCAACCGCATTTAATTAACGTCGAGGGACCAGGCATTGCGGAACTCGTCTTTAATACCATCCAGGCGGCGGACATTGATATACGGCCGGAGCTATACAAGCACATTGTCCTGTCCGGTGGCTCCACCATGTATCCGGGTCTGCCCAGTCGGCTGGAGCGGGAGATCAAGCAGCTGTACTTGGAGCGGGTACTCAAGAACGATACGGAAAAGCTGGCGGTACGTTTGTAAAATATTTTCTTATATTTTTTCGATGATATTTAAATTTGAAAACAGAAATTCAAAATACGCATCGAGGATCCGCCACGACGCAAGGATATGGTCTTCATAGGCGGCGCTGTTCTGGCCGAGGTGACAAAGGATCGCGATGGCTTTTGGATGTCCAAGCAGGAGTACCAGGAACAGGGCCTCAAAGTATTGCAAAAACTCCACAAGATCAGTCACTAAGGACGGCGGGAGAGGATGAGATGAGATGAGATCAATTGTAGCAATTTGTTTTCGGCTAGTTTCTTTAAGTTACAAATCCTTCAGTTTAGCGTGAGATTTATCTGTCTGTCCAATTTTGTGTGTGTTTTTGTGTGCCTGTGTATGGTCCGCTTGTCTTCCGATATACGATATCCGATATCCGATTCCCGAGTGCGTTCCTTGGTACAATGAATTGTAAAATTGATTTAGAAACTGCAGCCTGAAAAATGTGTAAACCCTGAATTATTATGCTTATTATTATTACGTCTAAAACGCTCCCACAAAAGTCAATCCCCCCCCTCCCCTAAATTGTTTTTTGCTACCGATATATATATATATCTATTTTTGTAAACAAAAGCAAATGTTTCATTTCGAGCAAAAGTATTCCCCCATTAAAAGTATTGTATTAACTAGGCCAAGTCTGCTGCCAGCGGCGATTATAAATCGCGTTCGAATCAGAGAAGGAGCGAGATATATAATGAAAGTTGCACAGCACAGAGCGAGAAAGAATAAGAGAGAGAGAGAGAGAGAGGGAGAGAAAATTAATTGATTTAACTGACTTGTCAACGCATTTAGGGTTAAACCGACTCTTTGCTTTCCACAACAATAATAATCCAAATAATACGAGTTTAATTGATTCATTTCCCCCAAGCCTGCCTTTTCTAGTTAGTTGCAATTTTGATGATGATGATGATGAAATCGTTGTTTTTTTGGGGCAAGCCGGAGGCAGCACATGCTAAACTATCAATATCAACACTATATATATGTCGGGGATGGGGGGTCAATATTGTCAGCCATGGTCGTTTCCTTAAATTTGTACTAAGCGCAGTGAGTCGCAATGACTGAGTAGTCCGTCCGCTTTCCCTGACAGTCTCGCTGGAACTGACTTGCACTTTTCCCTTTCTCTACTTTCCTCGTCCTTCTCTACTCGTCATTGCGCCACACTCGGTAGGGAATACTCTCTTTCATCCCCACCACGCTCTTTCTTAATAAGTTCTCTTCCTTTTCTCTCGTTACTTATTTTACTCTTCATTTATTTCTATATTCGAAACACTTAGAGTCTTATAAATAGTAATTACATCTGACATTTCAAAGTAATCTCCGACACGGCCTTCCTGACTATAACACGACCTCGTGTTGCTTAGTGCTACATAAAATTGGCCTTCAAACTTCATTGCTATATCTTTACCATAGTCATAACTGCTCTAAGTAACTCTTCAAAACCAATCATCTTACACTTCTAGTGTCTTCAAACGTTGGTTTGGCGGGATAATCTTTCACGACCATAGAGTACACGCTCTCTTCCGCACAAACCCAACAGTTTGGATATCAATTTTGCATTCCATCAGACATTAACTTAACAGGATATTCCTTAACACACCGTTTAGAGTACACGCTCTCTTCTGCTCAAGTTCAATCGTCTGGCTACCACTGTACCAAACTCTTGCCAGGCTCTTGCTGCACACTTTGCAACGCTCACACGCACCTTTTGCGTCACGGTCTCTCTGGACCCTCATAGCCTTATATTCCACCAACGAGTGCCTCAATCGGCGATCTCTCGCTTACACTTCCAGTGTCTTCAAATGTTAGTTAGGCGGGATAATCTTTCACGACCATAGAGTACATTCTCTCTTCCGCACAAACCCAACAGTTTGGATATCCATCAGACATTAACTTAGCAGGCTATTCCTTAACACATCAATTAGAGTACACGCTCTCTTCTGCTCAAGTTCAATCGTCTGGCTACCACACACACATACCACAGTACCGGACTCTTGCCGCACCTTAGCGACGCTTCACACAATCATTCAAATGTAGTCCCTGTGTATGGCACCACCTCAACCATCTTAAAATACAGATGTCTTGCTTTGATTTTATGGTACCTACGAGTGCCTCAGTCGGCGATCTCTCGCATTCATCTGCATCAACCTCAACAGGCATCGCAGGCAACTACTTAAAATTTCGCTTACTCGACAAATATCTCAAAACATATCGGCCACCATCAAGCTTTTCTATAATGACAAAGGGTCCTCTTCGGATCCAGCTCTGTTTGGTGCCGTTCTTCATCTTAATTTTCCATCTTCATTCCTTTATCCTTTTCTTTCTTTCCTTTCTCATTCTTAACAGCTCTTCCATTTTAAATTGATCTTGCCTTCAATCTTAGTGCTCTTCCTTTTGCACCATTTTACCGACAGCTCAGCATAACACAACTTTAAACTTTTCTTTGTCTATACTTTTCTCTGTGTCAAGTGGTGGTATCAAGCCCAGAGGATGGGTCCAATTGGCATCTCGTAAGGGCTTGCATTGGTTGCACTACTAACTGTGCAGTTCGCCGCAAGTTGCACCCTGCGAAGAGCATCTTGCCATTACCTCTGATGTCCTGGTATCCAGCCAGATGACTACTTTAGAGCTTTACACATTATACAACAACTCATTTCCAACAACATTGATAAATCTTACTGAGTCTATTTTTTTTCAACCCAAATACATAACGAATTTATAACTTTGATTAATAATCAACCAACAAAATTTAAGGGACACTACTGGCAGACAACACCACCTCACACCTCTCTGTATTTTTTTTAAAACCCCTCTTTGTAACTCAATTTAATTTCAATTATCTTTAGTTGTTTATAAACTATATCAATAAATCCTGAAGTCAGTCAAGGTACTTGAAGTTAAAGAATCGGTTTCCCAATTTGAGAAAATCGAGACACAAATTTTTAAAAATAAGACGCCAATTCAATAAATGGTCTTACGCCTAATTACACCGATTGAAAGGACGAATTTTTAACGTAAGAACTTTCTAGGAATTGGGTCTGATTTCTCTACCGCGCACCTCATAGCCCAGACACTGCGTAGTAGGTTCGAGAAACCCACATTTGACAACGTTAAATGAAAACCCTGGTACAGTCAACATATAATACAATTTTCAGTCCTCGGGAAGCCTAATCTTCCGAGTCTGCCATGACCAACACGTCATCCATGCAAACCATCGCAAACAATTATGCTAAACTCCAAATGCTTTAACAATTTCATCATAAATATAGGAGACGCATTCTTCAGTTCAAGCTGCACTGCTAAAGATACATATTGACCCTCCGTGGTCACAAACACAGTTCTTTCTATCGAATCTGAAATCAATGGCAAGGGATATCTATCAGATACTGTATTTGTGTGTAGTTCTTTATAATCAATGCACAATCTATCACTACCATCCATTTATTTATTTATTTTTTTTTTTTTAACCATTAACATTGGGCTAGCGAAAGGAGAACAACTAGGACTTATTAATTTTGCTTCCAACATTTGCTGAATTTTCTCCCTTACTATTTGCTTCTCGTTCTTACTAAAGCGATACATCGTCTCTGAACCGTTTCATTTATGTTTTATTTATTTACAGTTTGAGTTCTATAAATATCGAATTTGTTACTTTCTAAAATAACTCCAAACCCACGTTGAAAAATATCTTGTCCAATTATCATGTCATATTTAAGGCAATTTTCATCAACTACGTGAAACAACAATTCAAATTTAAATCCTGAAATTTGTACGGTGGACAGAATTTGCTTATAGCTTTTGACAACATTGTCACCTATGCCTCTCAACACTACCAGATTATGGCATCTCTTTCCGGCAAGGTTCTCGCTGATGCTTTCTTTCACCAACGAGCATTCGGAACCCGAATCGAAGAAAAATGGAAACCGCTCACCAGATTGTATTGCAGTTCCCTTAGGCTGAAGTACCGCACACATGTCCACTCTCTTCTCGATGTTTATATTCGCTGTTGCTGTCCCCTTAGTACACACTGATGCAATATGACCAATGTTGCCACACCTATAACATCTCACGGCTTGTCTGCTGTTGCTAAGGGCTGTTCTCGTCTCATTTCTTTCCTCTGCTTTTCTCTTGCGGCACTCCATTGCTTTGTGTCCAAGTTTTCCACAACTATGGCATTTTATCGGCGTTTGCGTCTTGAACCTCTTCTTTTCCGGGCCTTGCTCCATTCCAGAGTATTCAGATTGTTTTGCGAACGTATGAGCTTTCAGTTGTTGTTGCAGCTCCGCACGTGTTTTTAGATTTGTTGTAAACACTAATCTCTGCAGTCTGGAATCAATTTGGGATGTATGAGCCAGGACCAACGATACAGCAATTTCTTCGTGCGTCATTCCTTTCCACTTGGTCAAGAGTGATGTAACCAACCGGCTGGAGTACACGGAGAGGCATTCTTCAGGATTTGGGCGTCCCTTCAACATGTCTAGCAACAATGCTGCAGGCGTCTCGTTGCCTTCGTAGCGTTCCATGAACAATTCCTTGAACTGTGTCCAGCTCATCCCAGGGTAGCAAATTTGCGACAGCCACTGCGATGCGCTACCGTGAAGCGATGTTCAGATAAAATCATGTTCGCCGTTTTGCACCATGCTGCTGCGTCTGCGTCGGCAGCTTCAGGGTCGAAAGATGGTAGCACTGCAGAAACGGCACGTGTGCCAGGCGTCGACGTGGACTGTGCAGCTTTCAAAAGTTCTGCAATCACTTTGCTTTGCGCTTCCAGAAGTGTGCGCCAGCCATTATCCGGGTTGTCTTGTAGGGGTGGTGATCCCACTTCTGATGTCGGGGATGGGGGGTCAATATTGTCAGCCATGGTCGTTTCCTTAAATTTGTACTAAGCGCAGTGAGTCGCAATGACTGAGTAGTCCGTCCGCTTTCCCTGACAGTCTCGCTGGAACTGACTTGCACTTTTCCCTTTCTCTACTTTCCTCGTCCTTCTCTACTCGTCATTGCGCCACACTCGGTAGGGAATACTCTCTTTCATCCCCACCACGCTCTTTCTTAATAAGTTCTCTTCCTTTTCTCTCGTTACTTATTTTACTCTTCATTTATTTCTATATTCGAAACACTTAGAGTCTTATAAATAGTAATTACATCTGACATTTCAAAGTAATCTCCGACATATATATACAAACACATATATAGGTATATATATATATATGTAATTCTATGTATAACTAGTGTGGTATGCCAATTATATATAAAGTGAATGCATTCAACATTTATTATGTATGATGTGTACTAAAGTAGACTTGGTTTTTTTTAACCAACTAAAAACAGAACACAAGAATCACAATAATAAAAACGAAAAACAAAAACCAAAACAAATACAAATAAAAAACAAATGCAATCTAAACGGTTTTATGACTGGGCTTCTGGCACAAAATAATAATAACAATGGAAATGCTCTCATTCGTGTTCTGCTGATTAAAACACCTTTCGATTCTCGATTCGAATTGTTTAATGCCGAGTTCAAGTGCAAAATATATTATATATAGAATGCAATTCAGCCTCGGTCAAGCAGCAAACAAAGCCAATCGAAAGATACGACAAAGGTGAAAAAACCCTTGAGTCATGAGGGGGGAGTGGATTATGCAGATGAAAGGCGTGTGCCGATGGTCTTGAGCATAATCCAAGGTCGCATAGAGATTTTCTACTATGTTTTTAGTTATTTGGATACTTTATAGTTTAAATAAGGAGTTTAATTCTTGTTTTTATAGTTAAGGATTATTGTTTTAATGAAACTTTAAATCAGCGCAAGTTTTTTACTTTTATACCTTTGCAGGGTATTATAATTTCCATCAGAATCTTGCAAAGCAGTGAATAATGCTTTTTTTTGACCCTAAAAACCATATATATTCTTGACCAATATGCAGATTTATTAACCTTATAAAACCTAACTTGGAACAGCATTCCGAATTTCATTTAATTTATTCTTGGTTGTAGATTTTTTAAAATTGGATTTTCCCAAAAAGTATATATTATTTATAGATAAATTTTTAAGTTAAATTAAGAATGCTGATTTATTAACCTTAAAAAACAGTTATTAACTTTCCCTAAAACTGCACCATTTATTTATTTTTTATTAGAATATATATTTATACTTTTTTTTAATTGTAAATTTAGTATGAAATTTTATAAATGAATTTATTAGCAGATAAAAGCTTTCCGAAATGGAATTTCATACATTTTTTGCTTAGTTTTGAATCGATTTTCGATTAAATTACAAATAGCAAGTGTATTCAAACTGCGGCTTCCCTAAATTAGCTTCTTTTTTTGTTTACGTTGTAAAATCTCATCAGGGTTTTAAATATCTTTTTCCTTTCTTTTTGAAGAAGCAGTTTATTATTAATTGCTTATCTCTGGAAACTCTACGGAATGAATCCATGAGTATCTCCACAAAGACCCAATTACATTCACAAATTCAACCTGATTTACGAGCCGCTACCAAGTGCCCTTCCTGCCATTGGATCGCCACCGCTGCGCACCTGAGGCCGCCGCCTGATAAGAGGAATCCGAACCGGACCGTCTGCTCTAGATGGCTAGATAAGGCCTTTGTGTGTTTTGTTTTCTCCCGGTGGTGTTGCTGGAGTGCCCCAGGCCCAGGTTTAGTTGGTGAAACAACGCCACGCAGCATGGGCCACACGAAACAGAACCCCGCACGGCAGCTACTGATCCTGATCCTGGGATCTGGACTCCTCCTAGCCGGAGTTAGGGGTGATTACGGCGACTTGGCTGGCAATTGGCTGGTGGACTTCGGGGGCCAGACGGAGCTGCGACTGTCGGAGGGCGAAAGCCATCAGCTAACGTTGCACATAACCAATGTTAGGCTGGTGGATCCAAGCACTGACTATACTTTTTATGTGTACTCAAAGGACGAGGCGAAAGCCGCGTCTTTGGTCACCGTGAGGAAGGAGGAGTTCGATGCCTCGGGCAGCTGGCAGGGTCCGGTGGAGGTGAGAGGCGTACGCTTTGGGTACAGCGTCCTGCTGGTGGATCTGGCGTTGGCTGCTGATGTTAAAGAGTCCTATCCGAGTCCCCTGCCCCTGGCGGTCCTCCGATCTCGCGTGGTAGACGAGCGCGTTACCACATACGTGTCTGCAGCCTTGGCCCTGCTTATGTTCCTCAATCTGGGCACCGTGCTGGATCTGCATCGGCTGGCCGGGATTGTCTGCCGGCCTGTTGGGCCAGTGGTCGGTGTGGTCAGCCGTTATGCCATAATGCCCGCTCTGGGATTCGGCCTGGGCCGTGCTCTGTGGCCCGGCCAGTGGCCACTGCAGCTGGCGCTCTTCTACTCGGCTCTGGCGCCGAGCGGCGGTCTGGCCAACATCTGCACGGTATTCCTCAAGGGTAATGTGAACCTATCGGTGGCCACCACCACCATCAACAGTCTGCTGGCATTGGCCTTCCTGCCCCTGTGGATCCTGGTGCTGGGGAGGCTGCTCTACGAGGATGATGAGCTGGCGGTGCCATTCGGTGAACTATCCGGCGGAGCGGCTGCTTTGGTGGCCTGCCTGGCCATTGGCATAATGCTGCGCCTGTGCGTGCCCAAGACAACGCGACTCATCTTCCGCTTCCTGAAGCCGCTGTCGGTGGTGCTCAGTCTGTGTCTGGTGGGTCTGACGGTGGGCCTGAACTGGTTCGTCTTTCTGGAGTTTACCTGGCAGGTGGGTGTATCCAACTTTTATATTTATTTTATATTTAAAAAAAAAACACCCTTTTCCAGGTTCTGGTGGCTGCCTTGTGCCTGCCCCTGGCTGGCTACCTGGCCACTTACCTTCTGTCAAAGATCCTCTGCCGCACTGGGACCGATGCCCTCACCCTGGCCATTGAGACCATTGTCCTTAACATGACCATGCCCATTGTCCTGCTGCAGTCCAGCCAGCTGGAGCAGCCACAGCTGGATCTTGTGCTTGTGGTGCCCATTGCCTCCTCGCTGTTCTCCCTGCTGCTGGTCATCGGGTTCTATGGGGTGCGTCGTTGCCTGGGCCGGAATAAGCGACAGGATGAGGATGGCTTTGATCACAAGCAACTGATGGCGGACCAGGAGAGCGAGAGTACCGCCGTCTACCAGCAGCAGTCCTGAGGCGTTTCCTAGTCTTACAACTTGGCGAATTATTTAATTTAATTTATTAAATATTAATTAAGTTTTTTAATAAAGTTAAATATGTAAAATAAGTATTGTTTGCTGGAAAAAGGGCGCCCAAGCGGACTTCCGCTTTGTCAGTTTGGGCATCACTGTCACTGGGATTCATAAACAGCAGTTAATAATGTGTTTCTAACTATTTAATTTAATTAATTAAACACTAATTTAGTTTTTTAATAAGTAAACAAAGTAAAATATGAAATAATTAGTGTTTTCTGTTTTATTTTCTCTGGAAAAAGTGCGCCCAAGCGGACTTCCGCTGTGTCAGTTTGGGCATCACTGTCACTGCTAAGCTGGGCATCACTGGCCCTGGGGAAAGCGCGGCAAATTCAAAAACCGCAGTTAATAATGTGTTTCTAATGTGCCTGCGCGAGTTGTGTGTGTGTGTGGGAGAGGGGGAGGGTGCTTGGATTGTGTGTGTTTGCATGCAAATTTGGTTTTCAGCCAGCGAAAGGAAGGCTCTAAAAAAAAAAGTAAAAAAAATTATATGTCAACGTTGGCGCTGTGCTGGCTGGCTGGCTGGCCATTGCGTATGTCCTGGCAATTTGGAGCATTGGCCGGCACACTCACACACACACACACACACGCTGGTGGCGCATGATGTCATCAGTTCGGTGCGATGCAGGCTGCCAATTACGACACACACGCACACCGCTTATAGTATGTAGTGTGTGTGCACGTGCTTTGAAGCAAAAGGGCGCGCATCCTTTTACATCCTTCGGGGGTACACTTTACATGGTTTTGAAATAAAACAATTTTCTAATTTTCCACACTCTTTTAGCAAGTATTTTTCTGACTTTCAGACCTTGTTTTAGCAGTTTCTCTTTTTTAATTTTTCTCTCAAGTTTAGTTTGTATTTATATTTTCTTTAGTTAACAAACCCACCCCCGCTTTAAAGAAGCCACTGCTATCAATGCTTGCTTAAAAATAAGTGCTACCTGTGTGTGTGTGTGTGTGTTTGCGTGGTCAACTAACGGTTCTCGCTTGGAACGCATTACCGTTACCATCCGCACACATCGCTCGAAGCAAAGGCGCCCTTCTGAAAAACACCGAAGCCTGGAATCTCCCGGATGACCCCCTCCGTCGACCTCGTTAGCGCCAGCCCCTGCCTGACAATGTGTGTGTGTGTGTTTGTGTGTGTTTCGGTTATAAATATACACTTTTCAAAGGTGGCAAATGACATAACGTGAACGAGCCCTTCTTCCCCCAACTCGGTAATTTAACGACAAGTTAACTATCCATATTTGTGATTAATATTTCATTTAAGTGCATTAGCAAAAACCCAAAAATCGAGGACACTCTTTATGAGAAATATATACTTGTATTATTTTATTTTAATAACTTAACCTTAACTGAAATATGGGTACTATTATGGTTGAAGAATGCTTTTAATTTTAGCTGATTAAATTTATATTATTTATTCACTGATTATATTAAACGCTGATCACTGATTATATTGTAATTGGAAAATTACCTCAAATATTCGCATCCTTTAAATCGATATTTACCGATATTTTGATATGATAACCCTTTACAGTTTTGTCGCATCCTTTTGAATCGATATTTATCGATGTTTTTGCAGCCCTAGTTAATGCTCTCAATGTGCTGATATTGTTCGAAAACACGTTCGTCTCAATGCCCGCCAGCAATTTGGCTGTTTGGCCATTGATTGAATTCGTTTGCTCCTTGTTGGCTGGCTTTGATTACTCCCCCCCCCGATTCCCAGGCCCACTTTCGTCGCACACTTGGAGCAACTCATCATAAACTTTCGAGATATTTCATTAGCCTCAAATGGGACCCATCGCTTGGGGAGCTAGAGATCACCCAGTCGGTAGTCTGCAGTCTGCAGTTAGTGGTTCCCCATATCCATACCCATACCCATTCCCATGCCCCAGCCCATTCCCGATCCGTGGCCATCCCGTGCAGCATAATATGCGATTCCAATGACCGTTCTCGGGCCTGCTGCTGCGCATTGCAGTTAACCCCGAAAGGAACAATGCAGCAGGCATACACGGCGCATGAAATTTGGTCTTTGAAATTGAAAACCGATGTTTAAAAGTTTTTTAAAAATGAAATTGTAAAATTAAGAAAATCTTATAGATAATTTAACTGTAGTTTCAAGTCACAAATGATGTGAGTAGCACACTAATTTATAAGTTTTAAACTTTTTAAGAAGACAAATAACATAAAATCTATTAAAAATAATAATAAAAATAGTTTGAAAACCCATTGAATTCTCAACTGGATTTGTAGAACGCTTACTGATGGGATATGTCTGGAAATAGACTAGAATTCGATGAATACCTATAATTTGAATGGGTTTTTTGAACATTATTTTTAATTTCCAAGTAAGCATATCCTTAAGCCCTCAAAGAGTTTCTTCTAAAAGGGAAAATAACTGCAATTTTTTAGTTAAATTTATATTCAACTTAAATTTCTGTCAGTGCACCTATCGTGCTCCATTTTTGGGCCGTGCCAAGACAACTTTGAAACGGAGTTGCAGCAGTTCTTTTCCGATGAGGCAATTTCATTTCCAGCTGGGCCTTTTTTCAATTTTCCCCCCTCTTCTGTTTCTGTTTCTCTTTTGTTTTTTCTTTTTTGGGCCATTGGCAGTGCAACTGCACCGGGCCCCAGACTAATAGCAACAAGAGGTTTAAGTGGTGGGGGTGGGTGGTTGATGGGGGGGACCAAAGGGGGGTTAAGTGGGAGAAGTGAGAGTGGCTGGCAAAGCAAAGCATTTTGGTTTCGTTTCGTGGCATTTGGATGATTTCTGCCTATTTCCTGGCTAAAACACACACACACACAAACACAAGCACAAGCACACCCGCCACCCTTAACCCTCTCGTTGCCCATTGCCTATCCCCTTAACCTGCTTTAATCGCGTGCTTGGCGCACATTTTAACGCTCGTCGTCGACGTTTTCAGTTGACGGTTGCCACAGCAACAAACCAACTGCAAATGCAATGCAAAAGAGCAGTGGGTTAAAGTGGTGTAGAGGGGGGGGGGTTTAGGCAAGTGACAGGAAGAGGGCGGTGTGTGTGTGCTGGCAAATCGCTTCTTGCTGTGCTCTCTCTCTCACTCTCTCTCTTCATTTCCTGTCTCCATTTCGAGGCGCTGAAAAATCTGCCAGGAAATTCACTTGCCAGCTACCTGCTCTGGATAAAAAAAAAAAACACACACACAGGTGAGGTAAAAAAACGCGGCAAAATTCAAGTCAATTATATCCCCAGCACGTGTCCTTAAATATTATGCGTAATTATGGCGCTGGAGATGGCGCTGGCAATGGCATAATTAGCCCTGGTACCCGTGCCTTTCGTCGATATTCTCTCACCAAAAAAAAAAAAAGTAGACCTCCAAAGATACCTTTTGCTACAGTTAAAGCTTGCCTTACTAAAAGCCCATTAGGAGCCAACAGGATCCTTGATTAGTTTCGGTGACTTTTGTAAGGGGCACTTCAGAGGGACTTGATCGGATAGCCTGAAAGTGATGAACTTAGACTTGGACTTCTCCTGCTGCTGCTGTGAATAATGCAAGGTTATCCTAGTGTCTAAGGTTTGAGGGGGGTCCCAGCTGTGCTGCACTTGCTCTGGCATTTATAGAGGTGGCGGCGACCAACCTTAAACCTTTAGGATAACAACCGAGTGCGTGTCGTGGAAAGTGCAAGTGGAAAATATGTTTGCCATAACCGAGAGCGATTAAATCAAATATTCAATTTCCTTTTTCGTCCAGCCGGAGATATTTGAGAGATCAAGGAAGCAGAGTGTGCTCCGTGTCCGGTGCATGTTCATACTGCAGGATAACAGCTCGGTTTTGGCTTAGTTACTGCGGTTTTCTCTTCAGGTTCTTTCTACGCTTTAAATTGTTGAAAGTTTAGTAATTATATACAGTATATTTACTATACTTACTATATATTTATTTTGTTTGAAACTCCATGAATTAGTGCTTAAAATGCATGCCATGTTTTGGGGCTTTTTGTTAATAATTTTAAAATGATTATTGAAATGGAAATTGTGGTAGATAAAAGAGTGTATTGAAGGGTATATGTATACACAACTCAAGTGTGTGTTTGTGGGTGTTTCGGTGTGTATATGAATTTACGTACAAGGAAACAGGAAATTTAGTCTCACTTGACAAGGTGATGGACGACAGATATACATACATAGCTGCACTGCCCCTCGCCTTTTTGCCTCATTTCATTATATACAAATGTATGTAGATATATGTATGTATTTATATATTTAAATAAATATGCATTATTATTATGTTCAAGGAATGGTTTGGAGGTGGCTCCTGCGGGATGCGTTGAGCTGGGTTGGGTAAGGTAAACGTTGCCCCTGTCAAAATGTCGTCATTGTTCATTCATGAAATGTGCGCCTTTTTACATTTTACCCCAGCAAGTATAACAAAAACAACAACAGTAGCAGCAGCAGTAAAAACAACAACAAGAACAGGAATGATAAAAGCAAAAAAAAAATAATAAAAGCAATGGCAATATCACTAAAAACAAAATGTTATTTTAAAGTCTAGAAAGTTTTATTAAAAAATTGTTAAATAAATAAATATTTAAGCATAATTGATAAGAAAAATTAGTATTATATATATAAACATGTACAAAGTACATAATAAAGTAACTAATTGTTCTAATAGAATCTAGGAAAGTTTTGAAGTTTCTATCTTTTTTTGTTGTGTTTTATTTTTTGTAAACATTTTAAAATTGAATAATATAAAATATATATGGAAATTAATTAATTAATCAGTAAATTTCTCAAAGCGTTGTCTAACAATTTATCTTTTTTCAGATTAAAGTTTTTTATTGGTTTTTGTACAGTTGGCTGCTCAACTTAATACCTACTTATCTATTATTATTTTCTATCAATCTGTGTGGGGTGTCTAGTAATTATATGATAAAAGGTGTAATATTTGGGTAATAACCCTTTTTTAATTTACTTTTCGAATTGAAATTCATAAATTTTTGGCTTAGTTATGATAAATTTCAAATGCAAGA